CCCTCAAAAGCACTTTCCTCCAATTTCATTCGGACTATCCAGTCATCAAAATCTACCATACTCTGTGAATTAGCTGGATTATTTGAAGCCTCACAAGTACTTCTTACTGCATTGAAATCACCTAACACTACCCAAGGCAGATTGTACATATGCATAAATAACAGTCTAGTTTCATCAATTCACTCAATATCCATAGAAATCAATCAAACTCATAATCATGTGGGATTCCAATCATAAAGAAGTCAATAATTACAAGAAATCGTTCTAACTCTACAATAAATATCTAAGAATTAAAATCATGTTTTTTTGACTGATGAAGTAGTAATACATGACACAGTGATGCGTATATTTTCATTAATCCTCCTATTAGAAGTATGGGTACCATATTGTAATTGTACGGATTTAGGGTTAGTAGCTATGGCCGTATATAAGTGTTGAGAGGTCATGATGTACAGTTAACAACTACAGAAAATAAGAACGTACTTTGCCGTTGTGCTGTGGACTAGTCCCAACGATCACATTGGGGAAACCACGTAAACTCGCGTCTCGTGTTCTCTCTTTTCTCGTATCGATTGACATGGTATCAGAGCCTCCCGTCTTCTTCTCGTGATTTTCTCGTGGTTCTAGGGTTGTTGGGTTTTGCTTCGTGGTTCTCTGTTCCGTGATTGGGGCTGCTCTTCCTTGGATTTGCTTCGTGGTTCTCTGTTCCGTGATCGGGGCTGTTCTTCTTTGGATTTTCTCAACGTGATTTGTGGGTTCTTGGTTTTGTGAGGTTGCTGTGATATTGGTTTGGGTATTTCTGCAGTGAGGGTGATCATGGAGGGCTCGACGAAGAATGATGTGATTGCGGTCCGATTCAATGGTAAAAATTATGCTTTATGGGAACTTCAATTTCGCCTTCATGTTCAAGGTCGGCGCCTTCTTTCTGTTCTTGACGGCACGTCAGCTGCGCAGCCGAGACCGCTCCGTCAAAAGAAAAGGAGGATTGGGCTATGTATAATGCCCAGGTTATGGCCTCTCTCCTGGGTTATGTCGATCCGGGCATTGCCCTTAGCTTGAGGGGTTTTGATACTGCTGCTGCAATGTGGGATCGCTTGAGGAAGCTTTATTCTAAAGCTAGTAGTTCTCGTAACTTTGAGGTTGAGCAAGCTCTTGCTCTTTTGCGCCAAGGGGACATGGATATCAGCAAATATTATCAGGAGGCGGTGACTTTGTGGACGGAGCAAGACTTGATCTTGGCTTCGTTGCCTTCATCTCCCGCGACGTCGGACATGCTGCTTGAACGTACCAGTTCTCGCGTTATGCGTTTTCTTATGCAACTGCGGCAGGAATCTGAGGGGATACGGGCATCCCTCTTGCATCACAATGTCACTACTATGGAGGATGTGCTTGCTGAGTTGCTCCGGGAAGAAACACGAATTAAGAGTCAAGCAAAGCTTGACATTCACTCAACCGAACCGGGGGCAGCCTTTGCGGTTGGAGCTGGGAGGTCCGCAGGTACTGTTAAACCTCAATTTCACCGTACGTCTAAGGGTGAGATTGTGTGCTATCATTGCAAGGAACCGGGCCATATACAGTTCCATTGTCCTCGTCGCAACACCTTCAATTATTGCAAACTCGAAGGGCATCTCATTGCGGCTTGTCCCACGCTTGCTCAACATCAGAGATCGAGAGCTGGCGGGTCTCGTGATAGTGGCTCTCGTTCCACATCTGGGGCTGCTTATGCCACGCTGCCCAGTAGCTCGAATGTGAGCTCCTCGTCGGCTGCTCCTCTCACCCCGGATGATGTGCGTCGTCTTGTGCAGGAGGCCTTGCAGGCTACCTTGCCAAATGCCTTGACGTCAGCTTTCGCAACTGGTATGCACCCTACTACCTCTCCTACTTGGCATATAGATTCAGCAGCTTATAATCACATGACGAGTTCTCGACAGGCGTTTAGCAAACTAGATAAAACTTCATCGGGCATGGGTTTACAGGCTGCGAATGGTTCTCGAATGGCTGTACAGGGGTTGGTCATGTGCTCCAGCCCGTATATCTCTTCCTAATACATTATATGTTCCTCAACTAGTGCCCAGCCTTGTTTCTGTGGGTCAGTTAGCTTATGATGGGTGTCGGGTCATATTTGATGCGTCTGGGTGCACTGTGCATGACACGAGGACGGGGAAAGAGGTAGGGAGAGGGAGTAAGCAGGGGCGGACATTTCTACTTGACCACTATACTCATTCGGCGGCTGTTAAGGGCACAGGTGATTCCGAGCTCCCTAGGACGACAGGGTGCCTAGAAGCTGAAGCTGTGTCAAGTAGTAATGTAGTTGTGTCAAGTGATTGTGAGGGTTTACAATTATCAGATGCTAAAGTTGGTTTTTCAGTTAAGATGTCAAACTGGGATTTGTGGCATTTTCGTTTGGGTCATCCGAATTCTTTGCGACTTCGTGCTATGTTGCGGAATAAATGGCTATCTGGTAGTGGTTTTCATGATACTGGTCATGAATGTGTTCATTGTGTGCAAGCCAAGATTTCACAGCGTTCGTTTACATCTAGTGAAACTGTTTACTCTGCGCCATTTGAGCTTGTGCATACTGATCTATGGGGCCCTTCTCCCGTCACTTCTCGATTGGGATTTCGATACTTTGCTTTGTTCGTGGATCACGCTACCAGGTTCACATGGGTGTTTTTTCTTCGTCAGAAGTCAGAATTGATTGATAAAGCTCAGGAATTTTTTCAAATGGTTTCTACACAATTTGGGAAAACCGTCAAGATACTACGGTCAGATCCGGGTGGGGAGTTTACTTCTAACCCGCTACAGGCTCTTCTTCGTGACAGAGGAATCTTGGTACAACAGTCTTGTCCGGGTGTTTCGCAGCAGAATGGGTTAGTTTAACGGAAGCATCGCCATGTTTTGGAGCTTACTCGAGCTATTTTGTTTCACTCTCAGGTTCCTAAAGGTTTTTGGGTCGAAGTAGTTCACACGGTTGTTTATCTCATCAATCGTCAAGTCACTTCCGTGCTGCAGCAACGCAGTCCATACCAGGCCTTGTATTATCGTCTACCTAATTATGGTTGGCTACGTGTGTTTGGGTGTACATGTTACGTTCTGTTGTCCCGGAAAGAACGGGACAAGCTCTCTCCTAAGGCTGCTCATTGTGTCTTTCTAGGCTACAGTGATAAACATAAAGGTTATGTATGCTACGATCCTAGTTCTCGATGAGTACGCATTTCCTGCCATGTTGTATTCCTTGAGCACATACCCTTTTATCGCTCTACGGATGTTGAGTCTCCTTCCGCAGCTTCCTCGAGTTCTTACGCCCATTCGGCGTCCCTCCACATGAGTTTCCTCCTACTGTACCTGCTGCGGATGCCATGGAACCTGGGAACAACTCGGATTCAAGCCTCCAGTTGACTCCTTCTTCGGCTACATCAGCCTCATCGGCCGACTCCAGCTCGCCCTCTTCTTCTTCAGCTGGGTCGAATACCTCGTCTCCGGGTTCTCCCTCGTCTTCTGGATCATCTTCCAGTTCTGACTCGGAGAATGGTGGGGCGGCTGGCCCGGAGCTCCGTCGCTCTCTTCGGACTACAAAAGGTGTGCCACCATGGCATCACTCGGAATTTGTTGCCTTTGCCACTCCTTCCATTGTTGTTCCTGCTACTTATAAACAAGCAAAAGGAATAGAACATTGGGAAAAGGCAATGAATGTGGAAACGGATGCTCTTGAGGCAACAGGTACATGGGATTTGGTGGTTAGGCAGCCAGAGTTTTCAGTTATTGGTAGCAAGTGGGTCTACACGATTAAAATGAATCCGGATGGCACGGTAGAGAGATTTCGAGCTAGGGTGGTTGCACAGGGATTTCGTCAAGAATATGGGGTTGATTATGCCGAGACCTTCGCTCCTGTAACGAAAATGCAAACTGTCCGAAGTCTGTTAGCGGTGGCTGCTATGAAAGGGTGGCATCTGCTTCAGCTTGATGTGAAGAATGCATATCTTCATGGCGATTTGAAGGAGGTCATTTATATGGAACGTCCTCTAGGGTATACTCGTGGTGACGATTCGATGGTGTGCCGTCTGCGTCGGTCTTTGTATGGTCTGAAACAGGCTCCTCGGGCCTGGTTCGAGAAGTTTCAGGATACGGTTTTGCAGGCTGGGTTTATGCAGAGCTCTAGTGACCCCTCTTTGTTCCTTCGCACTACAGATCGAGGTTTAACGGTCCTCTTGATTTATGTTGACGACATGATTGTTACTGGTGATGATCAGCAGGGTATCGAGGAGCTCACTCGTACTCTCCGTTCGGCGTTTAACCTGAAGGAGTTAGGAGAACTCTCATACTTTCTTGGGTTAGAGATTCATCGATCGGTTGCGGGTCTTCATGTGGGCCAGCGGAAATACATCATTGACCTATTAGAGGAAGCCCAGATGGATGAGTATGCGCCGTTGGCTACGCCTATGGAGCAAAATCTTCGTCTGCGTCGGGCTGATGGAGATCCTTTTCCGAATGGTTCCCTGTATCGCAGTGTTGTTGGGCGTTTGATTTATCTTACTCACACACGACCTGATATCTCTTATGCGGTGCAGGTGGTGAGTCAATTTATGAATGACCCTCGGACTTCTCATTGGGAGGCGGTTCAGCGAATCTTGCGATATCTTCGTTGTACGCAGGATGTCGGTCTTCTTTTTCCTGCAGGGGGGATGGTGTGATGGAAGCATTTGCGGATGCTGATTATGCGGGCTGTTTAGATACCAGGCGTACTACATCTGGTTGGTGTGTCAAGATAGGCAATTCATTCATTTCCTGGCGGTGTAAGAAACAAGACAGAGTATCGAAGTCGTCGACTGAAGCAGAGTATAGATCCATGAGTGAAGTTTCATCGGAGATTATTTGGCTCAAGCGATTACTGACCGAATTGGGAGTGGTGATTCAGACTCCCATTCGTTTGCATGTGGATAATACCAGTGCTATACGTATTGCTACTAACCCGGTTCTCCATGACAGGACGAAGCATATAGAAGTCCACATTCATTATATTCGTCAGCTTGTTGCAGAAGGTGAAGTGGAACTGGCTTATATTACGTCTGAGGATCAAACTGCGGACTTGCTGACCAAGGCAGTTGCTTCTGCTCGTCATTGGTTTCTAGCACACAAATTAATGTTGCGTCAGCTCCATTAATTTGAGGGAGGGTGTTAGAAGTATGGGTACCATATTGTAATTGTCCGGGTTTAGGGTTAGTAGCTATGGCCGTATATAAGTGTTGAGAGGTCATGATGTACAGTTAAGAACTACAGAAAATAAGAACGTACTCTGCCGTTGTGCCGTGGACTAGTCCCAACGATCACGTTGGGGAAACCACGTAAACTCGCGTCTCGTGTTCTCTCTTTTCTCGTATCGATTGACACCTCCAACATCCATTGCAACAAGACACAGTTACACATATAATTTCACAACAAAAAAAACAAAAAAAAAATAAAGCCCCTGCTGACGTAGATATATATCAGCAACTACTACAAACATTTTCTTTAATGCTTTGACCACACCCGTTTTATTATTTACCAAATGGAGAACAAACATTCATCATCATCATCGTACGTTCAAACTAGTTCCGTTTTCGACTTATGGGCACTTGCGGCGGCCGCCGTGGGTGGTCAAGGTGGCATAGCACTGGCACTTGTCGTAGTTGCCGGCGGTTCCCGGCGGAACGCAGCTGCATCGCCGGCAACATGTCCCACAAGCCCTGTGGCATAAGTTTGGCCTACTGGATAGCTGGCACCTAGCTTTGCAAGCATTCCCACAATCTGAAAACCACCATAGACATCACTTGGTTATGATGAGTTTCGAATTTCGACATAGAATTTTATATCCTGAAATTTGAACTAGGAAAAAACTTTTCTTTTATGTTTTTTATTTCTACGATCAACTCGTCATCGACAACTGAAAAATCGTAGTTGGAAACTACTAATACTCGTCATATTACTTTTGGTGACCATTTTCTTGATTGCAATTAATATAGTCAAAAGTGTGATTCCACGTAGAAGTGTTTTTTATAGTACCGATCAGATTACGTACCGATTGATTTCGGGGAGTAATCGGCATGGGCGAGCTGAAGGACGAGGAGGAGGGAGAGGAGAAGGGAAGCCATCACGAGCTTGGAGAGCGCCATGGCGGTGGAGGGAGATCAGATAAGAGGGAAGAGGGCGTATAGGGTGATGAGAAGTAAGTGGAGGGAGAAGGGGTATTTATAGTGACGAACATTGAGCGTTTTGGTATAGTTGGACTTGTGTTGTGCTTGAGAGGGAATTATTGTTACGCGTAAACTAAAGATGGCAAAAAGAAGAGGACTGAGGAGAAGGGAATATGATATCTTGTGGAGGATGGGAAAGTGGGGGATTTCCTTGGAGTTTTGGGCAGTGGAACTGTCTGGAAAAGAGATTAAGGAGTAGGTTTTGGGGTACCCACCCCTAAGAATTTCCTTTATTATGTGTTTAATAATATTTTATATCGCGTAAGATAGTTTATGAGTTTTAATTAAGTTAGTATAGATATATTATATTATGCATGTAAACAATCAATGTAATAAATTATGATTTTATGCATATAAAATATTTTGGTGTATTATATCAACAGATAATTTTTTCTTATAATCCGAGTGGTTGGGAAAAGAGAAGATGTATTTTATTCCTTCTTATTAAACTATAGTAAAACCTCACAAATTGATGTAGTCGGGATCGTAAAATATTATTAATTAATGGTAGCTATTAATTAATTATTAATAATATATTCATTACATGGTGTGTTAATTTTATTTAGGTACAAATTTAATTTATTATATTTTAGTAAATTTAATTTTTAAGGTTTATTTTTTCTTATCTTAATCGTTCAAATTCATACATATTTACTTTGAGTATCTCATAGATATTCATCACATCTTTCAGATATTTCAAGTTCATATGCTAACTTATCGGATCGTATGTGTTCATTATATAAAAATTAAATAGATGAAAATTATGTATTCATGCATGCTTACGTTTAGGTGTCGAAGATAAACATTAAATATATATGAACTTCTATTAGACTTGAACTTCAAGAAGAAACAAACAATTTTATATTCACATTTTCTAGATGAGTCATATTTTTCTAATTTTATTATTTATGAATTTATTTACATTGGCTCTAATCGAGACCGGAGAAATTATTCAGTAAAGAGATTTTCATTTTTTTATGTATTGATATCTCATTTTATTCATAGAAAAGAGATATTCCATCAGTTATGGATTTGACAAAAGGAGTAAAGAAAAGATGGATTGAAATTCTTTATCAAACAATAATACAAGTATACAAACCATTTTTTGCTCCTCTGTGTTTGTTGAGGCTGCCGACTGTACAGCTATATTCTTCTTTTTTTTTTTCTGTAATTAGTGGCTGATAATACGAGACCGACTTCGAAGTTTAGTCGACTGCACTGATCAGTCAACCCCATACATACACTATTTGCCACCACATAGTTTGGCTGCGCATGCACGGAATCATAAATATTTGGTTAGTGATATGTTTTTAGTAACCACTTTCACCTTACTGGAACCATCCTTATCTTGGTTTAATATCGGATCACGTCTAGCCGAATGCTGACTCAATGGTCAAACACAGCCTTAAATCCCAACCAACACCCGACAAGTACAATATTAAACTCTGAGGAACCACCAGCTAGTAGTCCGGGCTTTTTGGTTTTACCTGAAATCGGATTGAATAACCCGGACCGAGACCAGACCGGAATTGGATTGCAAACAATCCAATCTCATCTTTGGGCTTAGATTTGAGATAAAAAAAAACGTTCGAGACTGGAGCGAAAACCGGATTATGACCTGATAAGAGAGCCCAACACCCAAAACTTAACCAACTCCTCACCCTTTCAGGCCCCAGATCACTCAGATCCCAACAAGTTCAATCTAAAATCAAAATCATATTGGGACCGGACCGGATCAAGACCGGACTGTATCCAATCCAATCTTTGGTCCTTATATTCCCGAAAATACTGAACCGGGACCAGATCAATTCAGGCCAATTTAACCGAACTGTATAGCCACCCCTACTAGCTAGCTAGTCCTCCACCCGGACGAGTGGCTCGATTGGCTCGAACGGTTAACCGCCTCGGCCGCTCGCCAACCGCTACATAAAACCGGAACGACTTTTAGACTGTTCCGAGCTGGTTTTGTGACCGGGTGGCGGTTTTACCGGTTGGGCCGAGCTGCTCGGCTTTAATAACACTGAGATTAGGCTTGACTACTCTCAAAATTGGTTTGTTAATCTTGGATGGGAAGAGTTAGATAGATGGGGTGAGCAGATGGAGTGAGTTAGGTTGAAATCGTGAGGAATTATAGCTTCTTTCGTAATAAATTTATAAAATAGAATAACTGACAAGGGTTTATCGTCCTCTCTCTCTTTAAATTGTCACGGTTCAAATCAACTTCTCATTCAAATTTCCGACTCTACCATTCGATGGCGGACAACACACAAAGTAAGATGACAACTAATAATGTTGATCCAATAATAAAGTAATAAACAGATTAAAGTGGGTAAGTTAGAACAAAATTGTAGGAGCACAGGACATAATTAGCTGTCAGCCCCTATGAATATTGGAGTCAGTTGGCCCTTCCATACAGATGCTGTAAGACGAGGATAGAGTCTTGTGTAGGGCAGTTTTGGCAGCTAGTTTGAGGTTGTATGTTTACAATTAGAAGCCATTATTTTAACTTCATTTGAATGAAAGCTTTGTTTGGTGATTAGCCATAAGAATCGAAAAGGATACCCTAATTCCTTCATGGTAAGGAACTCTCCAAGTGCCAGCTTAGTTGATACGGCCACTTCAGATAGAGACACCCACCCCACACTCTGTTTTAATTCTTTTCTCTTTAAGAAGAGTTCATATCAATCAGCCAGTTGAGAGAAGAATTAGGATGGATTATAGGGCAGGGAATTAGGCAGCCACTTCCATCATGGATAAATAGACATCTTGAAAACGAAGCCACTAATACTAACCCAAACTTAATTTGATACCATAAAAAAAACTATTGTTGAAATGGTTATCATGATAATTATCAAACCAAATAATGCTAAAATCTATTAACCATTTAATACAATATCATAATCAAACCGTCCAAATTAATATAATAACCAATATAACATCACATTATTATAAAGTGAAAAAATGTCTGGTTAATGCATCAATTTGCAATTTATATAATTAATAGAACATAACAATCAACACATAGTTATAGTTAATACTTAACATAAATACATGTAATTAATACAATTATCTTATTGTCAATAGAAGTATTCACGTAACAATATGTATATGTATATATATATATATATATATGGTGGCTAGTTCGGTGCACTCACTTTTTTGGGTGCATTTAGTGCACCCACCTTTAAAAGTGGTCATAATACATCAAATTTTAAAATTTAATGGGTAGCATTAGTCTCATATGATGATAACACAGAATCACAACTAATCAACCCATTACCCTAACCTATTAACATTCAATTTTGAATCTAAACCCAAAATCCCAAATTGTAAACCCTAACCCTAAATTCCTAAACACTGAATCATTCAAATTAAAGTGAATTTTGAATGATTTTGTACAAATTCATGTGGTTCTTGTTCATCATACTACAAGGGATGATTGACATCGTTTTCACATGAATCGTCTGCTCATTATGACGATTATGAGGCGAGTGCATTGAATGCACCCAAAAAAGTGAGTGCACCGAAGACATAATTATATATATATATATATATATATATGGTGACTTTTACGGTGCCCAGGGCAAAATCCGGGTACGGGTACCTTGGCCGATCTTAACCATTCATTTTCAATCTCCACGGCTCACGTTTGTTAAACCTAACTGCGCCACTAAATAACTAAACAAAATATAAAAAGCCTCCTGCTGCGTATGTTTGTTTTCATCCTAGTCCAACTAACTGGCCCGATTAAATTAAATAATCCGATTGGGTAGACCCACTGCCGCCCTAACCAATTTCCAGTCTCCCTAACCAATTACACGATCCCTCTCTCGTCTTGGAGGGACGCCCCTTCACAGTTCCAAGAGAAGCTCCCCATCCAATTTGAACTCTCCAACTTAATCATCTTTTTTAATCCCAATTACTTGCATCCACATTCGACGTAGATTGAATTTCCCAATTTATTTTGTCTTGTTTGTTCTTCGCCCTTTTATTTCCCCTCGCCTATCTCTTTCTAACACGATTACGACGACCATGTCTATTATTGTGTTCATCAAACTTTTCATTTGCAAAAGAACCCTTGAAAGAGGTTTGCTAACCCTAGGGTTCATGTCGCTAGTGCTTTGTCATCTTGTCTTAGCGTTATTGTCATTTTCTCGAAACTTATATCTTTCGGTGAAATTTAGGTTTCCTGATATGTAGTGTTCGTCTCGCCCAGAGGATTGAGGAAGGAGATGAAGAAGGCAGAATTTGATTCGAATCGGATGGAGAGGTCTCCTTAATTTGTGTTTATGTATTAACGGTGCGTTTAGGACTAATTCTAGTTGGACTGGGTCTGATCATTGATTTTTACAGGCTTTTAAATAACATTCAAACGTGGGCTTGTACATGATCCATGCAATATTCAAAATTGGGCCTGGAACGTGCGAGCCCATCCCATTTCTCCTGACGTATCAATTCGTGCGCCAACCCTAGTTAAACTAGTTTTACTTATCCTAGTTTAACCTACACGAGTTACCATCATCATTACATATCTTCCGAAATCTTCTAACTCTTGACATTCCAGACTCAACCGTCTCCATCACACTCACGTCTCCAGACTCAACCCCCACGATCACTTTTTCTTACACCTACATTCTCTCTTTCCTCCATCTTCACCTTCCCTTGTTCCTTCTTCCTCCAGACTCCATGGCAAACAAAGGTAAATCGTTTGCGGAAATGGGGATACTATCTCTATCAAATGAAGACTGCCGATCCACCGCAAGTCTCGGTGACTATCTTTCATTTACAAGAAAAACAACAATTGTGGCCGAGTACGAGTTCATCCACCTAAGTCCTTTCCCTCAATAAGTGAAGAAGTTAATAAAAAATCTTGGCTGGGAAAAGTTCTTTGATCTCCGGAGTCGAGGAAGCACCAATTACTGCCCGCATGTGGTGAGGAAGTTCTACCACAATTTAGAGCTTTC